AGGCACCAATGGACTAGGCGAAGGCTCCTGGAGTGACAACCAGCATGATCCCCTCTAAAGCTGTTGTCTCCTTGGGGATCTGCTCAGGGTCCTGTTTTCATAAATTCGGCCCCTCCTCTCACCCCTCCTTCCCTCCGCCCTCCAGGGCAAGGCCTTTCAGATCATCAAAAGCGAGTGCTGCTTATGCTTTATCTGAGATGGCTTTATCTGAGCAGTAAATCTCCCTAAAGCCAGACCTGTCCAGGGCACAAGGCTATGGGAGAGTTATGAGGGTCTGAGGCAGAGGGAGCAAGCATGTAGCCTCTGGGGGTGTGACTCTCGCTATGGCCCCAGGAGGGACCCCAGCTGAGGGAGGCAGGAGTATCCTGCATACCTTCATCAGAGGAGCAAGGAGGAGTGCAGAGGACCTTTCTCCTTCACCCCTGACTCCTCTCCATGATTAGCAGGGAATATCCCACCTGCCAGCCAGCAGAACTGTTTAAATTCCAGACACCAGGTTCTGAGCCTAGTGTGTCCCTCCGTTGCCATGTGTCTTTGAAGGCCATCTCACCTGAATGAGCATCAGTTTCTTCATTCAGTAGTCGGGGTGGCTGCATCTGCCTGATGGCAGAAAGTTCAGGATCTAGTGGGACAGAGCATATTGTCACAGGCCACGCACTGCACCCTCAGAGACCGGGTAAAAATGCCCCCAGGGTGGCCTTGCTATTGGCTCACAGTATGACTTCAGGAAATCATATGATCACTCTATGCCAGGAACATGACAGTCATGGCTGGGACAGGACAGTAAGGATGGAGACCTGCCTCCATCTGGAATGTTCATAAAATGTAACTGACAAAGATGTCTTTGTCAACGGCATGCTCTGTCCCTCACCCGTGCTCCTCTTTCACTGTCCCTAGCCCTTGTCCCCAGCCCTACCTAGCAGATCTTCCTGCTTCCATCCTGACTGCCCCCTCCTTGGGGGACACTTCTTTGTACCCATTGCCATCAGAAAGTGACCAGACCACTTCCAAGACTGCTGCTTGCTGGTGACAGCCTCCTCTACCCCCTGACTCCCCACCCCCACCCTCTGCTCTCACTCAGCTCAGTAGTACATAACTCTGTCCCCCACCTCCTGTTATAGGAACTTTCTGTCCCCCAAGCCCAGCTGGAGTGGAAGTAGGGGCTCAACAGGCCTGCTTCCTCCCCATCATCTGCAAGTCACAGGAAGGCAAGAGGCCTCATCTTTTCCTCTTTACTTGGTGACGATGAAGTAGGGCCCAAGGCAGGACTGTTCCTGCCCTCCACAAATTCAAGAATTGTGAGCACAGTGACAAGGAGAAATCAGCTTGTAGAGCCCCTCTCCTCTGACACCAGCATGGGTGCTGGAGGTACATGCCATCAAACAGCAGGGACTTTTCATCTGCAGGTACCATGCATATTATGTACTAGGTAAAAAAGTGCCACTCCAAAGTATGAAAGTCAATGCCCTTGTTGCATTCAAGATGTGTGCAAGCATCTCTCTCTAATGACAGAACTTTTGGGATTACTTTTAAAGGGGCTCAAAACAACTCCCCTTTTAAAGCAAATGTCATTCAGATAAGTTGAGAAAAAAGTTAAGAGTGATTCTAAAGCTGAAGTTCTGAAGCAGGGGGATTCCACCCCTAGGGGCCTTCTGCAGTGTTTTGGTGACTGTGTCACTTTAAGAAGATGCTGTCTGTGGAAACAGAGCGTGTGACACTCCCAGGGGCTCTGGTCCTGAAGCCCTGACCAGCACACTCCTCAGAGATCAGTGATGTTAGCGCCATGTTGGGGCTGCTCCTTTCTCTGCACATGTATTCCTTAAGCAGAAGTATGGCACGGCCCATACTGCATGGTTCCCTTTTCACATCTCTAAAACACCTCTTTTCAAGTTACATACCTGCCCTAGCACCTTTGAACGCCTAACTGAATTTTGCGTCTTCTTGACGCAGCCCCCTCTCCCTGGACATTTAGGTTGGCTCCCATTTTCGTCAGTATATCGGTGGCTTCATTTGTGAAATCCATGATTCTTCTTTCCCTTGAAGCACCCCCAGCTGCATCAAAAA